TGCTAAGTTAGAAGTTGACAAATGGGTAAACCTGTGGAACGGAATTGGCTATTCGATTGTTATGGAACGGTTTTACCATCGATATGCATAAGGCTTCAATTGAACGCCATAGCCAAACTAACGTTGTGATTTTCGTAACCCAAGCAGACAGATCCGTAAGGAGGAGAGCCCACATCGGTGCCCATGAGAATATCAATTTCTGGTCCAACTGTCTTACCCCAAATCTAACGTAGATGTTATCAATGACTAAATCTATCATTTTACATACTGTTTTCTCAGATAGAGTCAGATAACATTTACCGAATATTTACAAACTCTCCCGAACCTCTAAGGCAGATACGTAAGTATATCTAAGCCCACCTCGTATATTTACGAATGCCCCATGGGTCAAGAAATGAAACGGTTCCCTCCGTTTGACATATACAGAATCATGTAGAGGGGTGTGGGGAGGGATGTAGGAGGGGGTAGAGGAAGGTAGAGTGAGTGAGTTAAAATTGTCCGTCAGATCGGCAGTGTTTCAGTCATAAGATGATGGTAGAGAATGGGTAGAGGTGTGTAGAGAACGGGTAGAGGTTAGTAGAGAGGGGTAGAGATTGGCATAGAGGGGGTAGAGGTTGGTAGAGAGGGGGTAGAGGTTGTTAGAGAAGGGGTAGAGGTTGGTAGAGAGGGGTAGAGGTTGGTAGAGATGGGGTACAGGTTGGCAGAGAGGGGGTAGAGGTTGGTAAAGAGGGGGTAGAGGTTGGCAGAGAGGGGGTAGAGGTTGGCAGACGGGGAGAGAGGGGTAGAGGAGGGGTAGAGGTTTGTAGAGGAGGGGTAGAGGAGAGTATGGAAGGGTAGAAGTGGGTAGATAACTGACGCAGGAGGGGAAGATTGGTAGAGGAGGGGTAGACTTGGGACAGATAGTGGGTTGGGAGCGGAGTCACGTTGATGAGCGGAGTGGCCGAGCTGGGATTGGCTGAGTGAGAGAGTTGACAGATATACTTGGCTGGATAACAGACAAACTGCACTGGCGTCGGGGGACAATCCCGTGGATATCTCCGTTCCGATATAAACAAAGCATAGTTCTTCTATCATTTTCAGGATTGTTATTTGCATCACTCAAAACAGTGTCAGTGGTTGTTTTTCCGATACCTGATGTAGGTGTTTCTATCGTCAAGGTGTCACTAAGGTGTGTCTTCTGTGTGACAATAGCATATGCCCAGTTCAATGACTGACTTACACTCTCCTGAGCCACGTGTCCCACGCTGCCACGATCGACCCAGATAGTTCGGTACAAACTCACTCACTTGGCCGCGACAATGTAACTATACAAAATGTGAATCTTTATGGTTTATCTCATCTAAAATGTGATTATATTTATGTGGTAAATGTTTTCTAAAATGAGATTGTTCGCGGAATATTTGCAAACTCTTTGTCAGGGGACGTGAGTCATGGGGCATCAGGAGGTGAACAGAGTTCAGGTGATGTCAGGTGAGGTCAGGCGGTTTTAATTACGTTCGAGAATATTTCGCCAGTATTTGGACGTTCATTCACGTGAGTCTTTGCCTTCATATACTAATCCGCATTTATCTGGTTTATCATGCAAGCCCTCGGAGATACCATGCCGTAGTCCCACGTGGATTATCACAACTAGGTCCTGCGGCGTAAAACTAAACTCACTCACTCACTCACAACTATGTCCGTGTTTCATCCCCTTATATGCCCATCAGGCAATGCAACAACAAACAACATAGTTTAAATAAATAAATCGATCTTCTGCTGTCTGGCTGATTCTCGGTCGACCACGGTGGCGACACATGGACCATACGTGTTATAGATCCGGGATTAGTAAAGTACAAATTCAAATTAAGTACAAATTCAATTACTTTTGGAGGTTGAGTCCCATCCAGGATGGATTCGAACCCATACTCGTGGAGTAAGACACCAAGTAGCCAGCACACACAACCCACTCAGCCATCGAGGCTTCCACAAAATGGTAGTCGGCCACTGGTAGTCTTGATCACATACTTTATATAGACCTCTGATAAAAACACGCCTGGTGGGTCCAACGGCCGAGAGAAAATGTAACAAATGTCATACCTGGGAACATAGTAAAGCACAACTATGCATTACATACACGCACGCACGCACGCACGCACGCACGCACGCACGCACATCCATTCTCTATGTCAATACAAAACGTCAGAGCCATAGGAGGGGGATTTACAATTATTGAGTTTATTACAATTCAGGCTTTCTAATATGCATTCTTTTAAACATATTAACGAATTTGTAAATGTTTGACTTGTTGCAATACTGACTTTGTATATATATATTAACTCTATCTCATCGTGGTGTCATGAACTGCAAATCCGTTCTGTGGATGTGGGACGTCTCCACCCTCGCACCATAACGGAAGGCGATGTGTACATGTTCGGAAATATAATGAATGTAAATGTAATCTATCTATATGTAAAACATGAATGTATGATTAGAGTTTCAACTCAGTCTGCACGGAAGTATATGTACATACATCAACCACAGACATCCGCGTTGAAACAGCTGTTCACCTTGATTTGGCTTCACAACAGACTTCACAAAGTGACGTCATTCAATATCAATGATTGTAACAAGTTCTTCGAAAAAGAAGACTCCATATAAGGTATCCTTTTATATTTATTCAGATTTACATGAATACTTTTTCATGGTATAGTAATCTGTATATAATACAAGAAAGTTTCGTACTTTTGCCAGCAACTTAACGGACCCAAGACGTAAGTACACGTATTTGAACAATGCGTTTTGAGAGTTATCTCCCTTCCCCCAGTGTGACCCATGCATGTGTGTACATACATTTACATACAGATGTTTTCTGAAAACATTCAGATGTACAGTTTGACTAGGACATGAACCCACAGCTACACACAATAGTACACAAGGAACATTGTCGATTGAAAAGGCGGTACCAGAGTACTGTGTAGTGTCACAAACTTGCTACAGGTGTATATTCTCATTGTGGGTACTTTCGCTGCTCTCTGGTTGAACGCTGCTTGGAACTAAACTCCGGACAGTAAGGTCTTAAACACTTTCTGTTATGTTTGTCAGGATCGATATTTGGGGAGTTAAAAATTTCAGATTATTTGGGAGGCAAACAAACTATTTTGAAATTTGAGGTAGTCAAAATGTAGATTGGATACCTCTTTTTTCTATGTGGATAACAGATGAATACTTCAGTATTTAGTCTAGAATAATCGGGCAAGTCTAGATGATATTCATGATGTAGCCCCATGATATAACTAATTGTTCTGGGCTTATTATTATATTGGGTGACGTTTGTGTATTTCTATTTTTAAAAAAAAGTATATCTGGGACTTTATTTTAAATTTCAACTTCAAATGAGATCATGTTTTATTTTTCTGAGCCTTTAGTGCAGTGGTGCTTAAACGCCGTGTTGAATGCCAGGATGCCAGTGTTTATTATTCATGATCCCGCTGCAGTCACAGAACGAGGTGACGCAGTATGAACACAAATAGTTCGAGTGTTAAATATTATTATCAATGTTTGTTAATTCAATAACACAGATTCACTGACAATTGTGGTGTACCAAACTTGTGATCGAGTACAAAATATTAATTGATCTCATTAAACTTAAATGATGTAACAAACATTTCGTAACTCCTAGTGTTGACAAAATGGAAATTAATTAAGTTGTGCGATCGTTCATAAGGTAATTATACTGATGGGATGGCAAACAGAGACACAATTGAAGGGCAAGTTTGAAATAGTTGCATAGATACCAAACATTCACAGAGACTAATTTCTGTTTTAGAATAATATGTTTAACAATCTCGCCAGTCCCCTTAACCAGACGGTAGGGTCCATTGTTAAGAAATACGAAATATGACACTGGTTGCTGTCAGCTTAACCACATCCAAACAGTCCTCGTTCAGGAACTGGCCTCTACCACCATTTTTGGTTTGTTGTTTAATGTCGCACTCAGCAATATTTCAGCCATGTGGCGGCGGTCTGTAAATAATCGAGTCTGGACCGGACAATCCCGTGATCAACAGCATGAGCATCGACCTCCGCAGTTGGAATACGATGGAATGTGTCAACCACGTCAGCAAGCCTGACCACCCGATCCCGTTAATGTTCTATTTAAACTATACGTGTTTATATCGTGGATACATATCGTGATAACCAATTCTTTAACACATTTGCATATGTCAGGTTGTGCCACACAATACCACACATATGACAAGCCGAGTCACACAATGACAAACATATGTCAGGTGGTGTCACACAATGTCATACATATGACAAGCCGAGTCACATAATGACAAACATATGTCAGGTGGTGTCACACAATGTCATACATATGTCAGGTGGTTTCACACAATGACATACATATGTCAAGCCGTGTCACACAATGTCATACATATGTGAAGCCATGTCACACAATGTCATACATATGTCAGGTGGTGTCACACAATGTCATACATATGTCAGGTGGTGTCACACAATGACATACATATGTCAAGCCGTGTCACACAATGACATACATATGTGAAGCCATGTCACACAATGTCATACATATGTCAGGTGGTGTCACACAATGTCATACATATGTGAAGCCATGTCACACAATAGCATACATATGTCAGGTGGTGTCACACAATGTCATACATATGTCAGGTGGTTTCACACAATGACATACATATGTCAAGCCGTGTCAAACAATGTCATACATATGTGAAGCCATGTCACACAATGTCATACATATGTCAGGTGGTGTCACACAATGTCATACATATGTCAAGCCGTGTCACACAATGTCATACATATGTCAGGTGGTTTCACACAATGACATACATATGTCAAGCCGTGTCACACAATGTCATACATATGTGAAGCCATGTCACACAATGTCATACATATGTCAGGTGGTGTCACACAATAGCATACATATGTCAGGTGGTGTCACACAATGACATACATATGTCAAGCCGTGTCACACAATGTCATACATATGTCAAGCCGTGTCACACAATGTCATACATACGTCAAGCCGTGTCGCACAATGTCATACATATGTCAAGCCGTGTCACACAATGCTATACATATGTCAAGCCGTGTCACACAATGCTATACATATGTCAAGCCGTGTCACACAATGCTATACACATGTCAAGCGGTGTCACACATATGGGTTGAGGGATACGAAGGGTAGCTCGCAGATGTATCCCCCAGATTCAACAGGTTCGGCGCTCTTCCACTTGTAGCCGGATGTCATCGCCATTACAACACGTGTCTTGCTCACATCAGGTACAGGTTGACCATCGTCCCAGTCGTCATGGGTGATCTCTGATCCGTCTGACCACGCCCACTGGCCCGACAATATTCCTCCGATAGCGAATCCTCCGATGGAATTGTACACTGAAATGGATCGGTATAAGAGATAGTTTTGAACGTTTTTGACTCTGTGTTCATCGACACTGAAACGAAAGTATTGCACAGTTCATGTGAGTGACTGAGTGAGTGAGTGACAGCGGTATACGTACCCGAGCTAGACGTTATCACATCTTTTATGTGATTGATTTTCCTTGGTGTGTTGAGTTTAATCAGCGAGCCTCCATCCGCCTTACACTTTTGGTTGGCTGTGTCCCAAGACTTCTGTTCTGTGTACAACCGGTAACAGAGGTCAGTCTGGCGAGACAAGGTGTAGCCTGTGTCGGGGTGGCAATAGTCTGTAATATAACAACACAATGTACTAAGGGTAACAGAGTTCAGTCTGGCGAGACAAGGTGTAGCCTGTGTCAGGGTGGCAATAATCTGTAATACAACAACACAATGTACTACCGGTAACAGAGGTCAGTCTGGCGAGACAAAGTGTAGCCTATGTCGGGGTGGCAATAGTCTGTAATATAACAACACAATGTACTACCGGTAACAGAGGTCAGTCTGGCGAGACAAAGTGTAGCCTGTGTCGGGGTGGCAATAGTCTGTAATATAACAACACAATGTACTACCGGTAACAGAGGTCAGTCTGGCGAGACAAGGTGTAGCCTGTGTCGGGGTGGCAATAGTCTGTAATATAACAACACAATGTACTAAGGGTAACAGAGGTCAGTCTGGCGAGACAAGGTGTAGCCTGTGTCGGGGTGGCAATAATCTGTAATATAACAACTCAATGTACTACCAGTAACAGAGGTCAGTCTGGCGAGACAAAGTGTAGCCTATGTCGGGGTGGCAATAGTCTGTAATATAACATCACAATGTACTACCGGTAACAGAGGTCTGTCTGACGAGACAAGGTGTAGCCTGTGTCGGGGTGGCAATAGTCTGTAATATAACAACACAATGTACTACCGGTAACAGAGGTCAGTCTGGCGAGACAAGGTGTAGCCTATGTCGGGGTGGCAATAGTCTGTAATATAACAACACAATGTACTACCGGTAACAGAGGTCAGTCTGGCGAGACAAGGTGTAGCCTGTGTCGGGGTGGCAATAGTCTGTAATATAACAACATAATGTACTACCGGTAACAGAGACATTGTACACTGAACAAACCGTCGTGATAATGCTGGAATATTGCTAAAAGCTACGTAAAACCTCACTTACTCACTCACTCACTTACTGGGTCCGGGACAATTTCAACCGATCACAATGTTGGATCTTAATCTTTTTTATTAAATACCTATACAAAGATTGCCATATACATTTTCAGATAAAGTCACAATCCCCTTAAGAAATGGAACAACCTCGCGAGGCTGATTAAAGAAGATTGACTAATCGTCAATACAGGCTTACTTAGTTATAATTAGTTTTCAGTCAATTAGTATCTGCGAAATTTCCGTCTGCAATGTTTCTGTTGTCTCGCGTTAGAACTACATGCACGTTTGTCCTTCGACAGTAAACAATATAATTATCGTCACTGGTTTTCGTCTCACTCAATAGATGCAAACTTGACAGGAGGTAACTTTGTATTTTTTAAACTTCAGAGTATGTCTTCAGCCATTTAATCTATATTCCAAAGCGGCTTGAGCAAAACTGAGATCGATTTTTGATTGTCGTTACGTCTTTCACAGGCATAACAATGGCCAATTGTTATCAACATTGACTGAGACTGATAGCGATGAGACTCCGAGACTGTAATGTCGAAAATATACAGTGTCTCCTTTGATGTCAGTGGTCAATAAAACATGAACATGGGGAAACGCCATTTAAAAGCAATCTTAATTCTGTTAGCTATTTATTTTAATTTCATCCAATATTTAAACATTTGAGAAGTTGAATATGCGGAAGTTGTTAACAAATCACACACACACACACACACACACACACACAAACATATGCACGCACGCACGCACGCACGCACGCTCGCACGCACGCACACACACACACACACACACACACACACACACCTGACTAGGATGAAACAAACATAAATAACGGAATGAAATGTACAATTCAAATATGGTACAATTTTCGAATATTTATTCAAATACGTTGTCATCAAATGAGACTATGTCAGTACCCGATATTCTGACTGGCAGAACTTTGAATATAATATATAGATGCAACACAAATACTGCCATAGTCAAAAGAAACTTTATCGTACGGTGGTGGAATTATTTGAATAATGAAAGCGAACTAACACAATTCCATAACGACAAGAACTGGACAATAACTCCATTGCACGATTCCGAAATACATCATAAAACATTATGTTTGAATCACTGTGAAGTAGTACTGAACCCAGCTGTTCGCGAAGTAATGAGCATGTTCGGCCCCACCGGCCGCTGTGATCCGTCACAAACACATGCTTAGGCAAGTCAATTGTTCCTCTAAATCATGCGTGTGTAAGGCACAACTACAGAAGGGATTGCATCGGACTTGAATCTGTCACTGAATCGTAAGTTTTGAAATGCTACTATGCAAACATGTTTTGAAATAAGACTTCTGAAAGAATCTGTAGAACTTTATACAGTCAAAATAGAGACGAAATTAAAATGAATGTATACCAAACAGAGTCTACGTTTAAACAAGAACTGTGTTTATGAGTGTGGTGATTAAGAATATGCAGTGTCTTACCATTCCACGAAACCTCCTGGTACAAAATGCCAATAAAACAAGAAGTATCAAAACTATAGTAACAATAAATCTGGACATCCTGATTGTCAAACAAACACTGAAATGGTTCCTGCCAGCTATATAACCACCGGTATGCATACCCAATTCGCAAACACAGTACAGCTATCCACTAATTATCATTCTTATAAATAATAGTTGTTCTCGATAATACACACACAACATGATGTTCACTTGCCTGGATAAAGCCAGAAGTAGTTGATGCCCGGCTGACCTACCAGATCGCCCTCAAGGTAGCGGCTTGGAGCAAGACAGCACTTCTGAGGGGACTCGCGTGCGAAAAACGAAAGACACTGTCTGTCCCTCCAGCAGAGCTCGAAACACCCATACAGAGAAGCATCTACCACGGTGGTGGGGCAATTCAGCTGGTGCTTCATGTTTGTGAACATGAGTCCTGTAACCGTTGTAATCAGAGTACACGACGCCATCGCCGTTCCTGTTAGCGCTCATGTGCTGCACTGCCCGTATCAGAAAATCATTACACATTCTGTATCGCTTAGCGACGAGTTCCTTCAACGGAAATACTCCCATCTTCTAATTAAGATTTAGTCTAATAGCTAGGTTTATCTGATGATTAAGGAAATTGCGAGCATATTCTCTTCCCGTTTAGGTAGTTTGTGTATATGTATGTAGTTTTCATCACAGAAAAATGGCAACAAAAATAACATGTTAAAGGCCACAGTGGTGAAACCTCATTGCGGTGGTTGTCGACAAGTTTCCATGGCGCTTGATTCCTATTTCCTATTTGGTAGTAAATCTGTAAAATCCTTTCACCTGGAAGAAGAACTCTCTGCTTAAAAAAGCAATATGCTTTGTTTGGTTCCAACTATATATATTTCTGGAGTACAGCGCTGCAAATGATACCAAGTGCATTCTGCCCAGTCCCCAGAATACACACTATCACACGTTTCATCTGTTTGTTTAACAGCCTGGATGTTTTACTTTTTTTTGAGTAGTACGTAATGTATAAACAAAAAAGCAGATATTTACTAAACATAACAGTTTTTAAAAAAATACATATTATGAGATTTGATCTCGATTATATTGCTTCATTTGACTTTGTACATGCCATTTGTTCAGAGCTGGAAACAAAGGAGGTTTGCAACCAACAGGTGTACGTTGAAAACAACAGTGAATGGTGATCTACCCCAATGCACAGTTAAGAATCATATTTACCTTCACCGCTATGGTTCTTTGAGTGTCGTGAAGTATTTACAGTCGATGTTATTCTCCAAATGCTGAGAGCAAGGGTGAATCATTCTTTCTAAACGTGGATATCATCAGCATTTGTTTGTGGGTCGAGAATGAATATGCTTTGAATATACATAGACTTTCAGACAGAAAAGAAAACAATCAACAAGACTGCATGACAAGGGGGATGCATCCATCTTTCGAACAGTCAACTTTGTCCTCATGTCGATCTTTTCAGTAGATCCAGCCTTTTTGATCTGTGTATGTTTCACTATGCCTGAGGATGATTTTGCAAAGATTTCAAAACAGGTAATATCATAATCGTGAGTTGAATCACTCTCAAATACTGATGATACCACGTGAAGGAATGAGTATTCCCGTAATATCACCAGAAATGGGCTTCACACATTGTGCCCATTTGGGGAATCGAACCCGGATCTTCAGCATGACGAGCGGACACTTTAACCACTAGGCTACCCCACCGTTCCGATGCTACCAAGCGACTAGGTGAGTGTCTCCCTTCCCGTAAGTGGCACATTTCACGAGTGCATGAAACCAAGTGAATAATAATTACCCACCTGGCAAATCATTCGGTACACGACCATTATGTGTTTTGCATTCGGAACTTCAGTGGTAAATATTTCACGGGCTTGTATGCAAAACGTTCCTTCACCAGCAGTGAGTACATAACTATGTGAATGCGTAATGTTGTCGTCTTCAGCCATTAAACCAACCAACCAACGAAGCTAACCTCGGTAATATGTTGCCTCAATTCTACATAATGCTTAAACGACACACAGTAGAGGGTTCGCAGTCATAAATATTAAATGTATTATGGGTCGAAAACAATTGTTTGATTACACTTTAATCAGACAAAAAACTTTTATTATCTTACAAATACTAAAAACAACCCAACAATATCCCAGCTGCAACTGTTAGCATTGTAAATAATTTCCATACACATTCGTTTGACGAAAATAACAATATATACTGGTTCGTGTATATGTTAATTTTATTTTAATCGTTCAGTTTATCAATATGTCAATCAATCTGTATTCAAGTATTTAGATGTGGAAGGTCGCTCATATAGAATTTAACATTATGGAGATGTACGCTATTCACGCAGTAATGGTTCAGTGGGTTTCCTGTATCCCACTATGGGGGTAGTCTAGTGGTCAAAGCGTTACATAGCGATGCCGGTGACTCATGTTGTATTCCCCACATGGGTACAATGTGTGAAGTCCATTTCAGGTGTTGATATTGCTGGAATATTGCTAAAACCGGCGGAAAATCTCACTCACTCACTCACTGGTCGCTGCAGTTTCATGGCCTTGAAACTTCAGGAAACCTTTAAAATGTTCACAGGAAGCCTCTGTTATATAATCAATCGACGGTGTTTCATAAGAGGTTTTTATTTTATTTCCATGCATCACTTTATATTTACACAAGGAAATTCATTTCCTGTAGTTTACCGTCATGATACTGTTTTTCAGTTGCCCAATGTTGTGTCTTCACGTGTTGTATTGATTAAACCGCCCAAACCACAGCAAAGTATACAGCGATTCAGTGATGACTGTGTGGGCCCCCATAAAACAGAACGTAATAATGTTTTATTAAAATATTCTCATACCATCCAAATTTTTGTTATTCGATTTACATAAAAATCAATGCAATGTTCTTGTACAGTCTGTTAATAGTATTTGTCACCAGAACTGATCATGGTCTGTCCATAGATTCCGGTGCCTGTTCTTCTTGTATGTATTGTCTTTGAGATCCTTGGTTGCCGACTGTTTCCAGTGTTTTCCTGTACAATCATTGTCATCGAGATCGTGGTCTGTCCATAGATTCCGTTGTTTTCTTGTACAGTCTTTGAATGTATTGTCATCGAGATCGTGGTCTGTCCATAGATTCCGGTGTTTTCTTGTACAGTCTCTGAAATTATTGTCATCCAGATCGTGGTCTGTCCATAGATTCCGTTGTTTTCTTGTACAGTCTCTGAAATTATTGTCATCGAGATCGTGGTCTGTCCATAGATTCCGTTGTTTTCTTGAACAGTCTCTGAAATTATTGTCATCCAGATCGTGGTCTGTCCATAGATTCAGTTGTTTTCTTGTACAGTCTCTGAAATTATTGTCATCGACATCGTGGTCTGTCCATAGATTCAGGTGTTTTCTTGTACAGTCTTTGAATGTATTGTCATCACGATCATGGTCTGTCCATAGATTCCGTTGTTTTCTTGTACAGTCTTTGAATGAATGGTCATCGAGATCGTGGTCTGTCCATAGATTCTGGAGTTTTCTTGTACAGTCTGAGAATGTATTGTCATCACGATCATGGTCTGTCCATAGATTCCGTTGTTTTCTTGTACAGTCTTTGAATGAATGGTCATCGAGATCGTGGTCTGTCCATAGATTCTGGAGTTTTCTTGTACAGTCTGAGAATGTATTGTCATCACGATCATGGTCTGTCCATAGATTCCGTTGTTTTCTTGTACAGTCTTTGAATGTATTGTCATCGAGATCGTGGTCTGTCCATAGATTCCGGAGTTTTCTTGTACAGTCTGAGAATGTATTGTCATCACGATCATGGTCTGTCCATAGATTCCGTTGTTTGCTAGTACAGTCTCTGAAAATATTGTCATCGAGATCATGGTCTGTCCATAGATTCCGGAGTTTTCTTGTACAGTCTGTGAATGTATTGTCATCGAGATCGTGGTCTGTCCATAGATTTCGGTGTTTGCTTGTATGTATTGTCTTTGAGATCCTTGGTTGCCGACTGTTTCCAGTGTTTTCCTGTACAATCCGCCACACTGTATTGTCACACATAGGGGTCGAGGGAGATGAAGGGCAGTTCACAGATGTACGCTCTTGTACCTGCACGGTCCACATTCCTCCACCTGTGACCTGAGGTCAGTTCCATGACAACACGTGACCTGTTCGAACTGGCGATCGGGTGGTTGTCGTCCCAGTCGTTGATGCTAATCTCTGAGCCATCTGGCCACGCCCACTTACCCACGCTCCTCTTCCCTCCAATAGCAAACTCCATTGACGCATAGTCTGAAAGTTTTAAATGAATTGCATGTGAAGAGAAACTGTGGAAATTTAGTGTTTGGGCTGTTTCAAATACTTGAATTGGCGTCAGTAAGCTCACTGGTTGACATCAAGGTCTTGATATTATTTGTTTTCATGAGACTCAAATCTGTTGTTAAAATGAACTGCAACTGGTAACTGTCTCACCAGTCAACTATACCACCCATTGCCTTGCATGGGAAATCAATGAAAGGCGGTATACGTACCCGAGCGAGACGCTATCACATCTTTAATGTGATTGATTTTCCTTGGTGTGTTGAGTTTAATCAGCGAGCCCCCATGCACCTCACACGCTGCATTGGCCCTGTCCCAAGTCTGCGGTGCAGAGTAAAACCGGTAACAGAGGTCAGCCTGGCGAGACAAGGTGTAGCCTGTGTCGGGGTGGCAATAGTCTGTAATATAACAACACAATGTACTACCGGTAACAGAGGTCAGTCTGGCGAGACAAGGTGTAGCCTGTGTCGGGGTGGCAATAGTCGGTAATATAACAACACAATGTACTACCGGTAACAGAGGTCAGCCTGGTGAGACAAGGTGTAGCCTGTGTCGGGGTGGCAATAGTCTGTAATATAACAACACAATGTACTACCGGTAACAGAGGTCAGTCTGGCGAGACAAGGTGTAGCCTGTGTCGGGGTGGCAATAGTCTGTAATATAACAACATAATGTACTACCGGTAACAGAGACATTGTACACTGAACAAACCGTCGTGATAATGCTGGAATATTGCTAAAAGCTACGTAAAACCTCACTTACTCACTCACTCACTTACTGGGTCCGGGACAATTTCAACTGATCACAATGTTGGATCTTAATCTTTTTTATTAAATACCTATACAAAGATTGCCATATACATTTTCAGATAAAGTCACAATCCCTTTTAAGAAATGGAACAACCTCGCGAGGCTGATTAAAGAAGATTGACTAATCGTCAATACAGGCTTACTTAGTTATAATTAGTTTTCAGTCAATTAGTATCTGCGAAATTTCCGTCTGCAATGTTTCTGTTGTCTCGCGTTAGAACTACATGCACGTTTGTCCTTCGACAGTAAACAATATAATTATCGTCACTGGTTTTCGTCTCACTCAATAGATGCAAACTTGACAGGAGGTAACTTTGTATTTTTAAACTTCAGAGTATGTCTTCA